GTGAGTTTGATAGATAACTTTACCAACAAGAAAGGAATGACAAGTCATTGTTATCGGATTGCATACCGATCCATGGAGCGTTCACTCACGGATGAGGAGATTAACAACATGCAGGTACTAATGCTTAGTGTTGGTGATGTTACTAATATTTTAGTTTTGAAGTGTTGTTTCAAAGTAAAACGACATGATAAAAACATGTTTTAATTGTGAATGCAGTGGAGCGTTCGAGAACAGGTGCAGACAAAGTTAAATGATGTTACTAATGTATGTATACATTGTCATATTGTTCTATCATATAAAGAGAAGTGTATGATACTCAGACTCGTGTAAAATGGCAAATATGGTTTTCTCTGACAAAGATATGTTCATTTTATTTTTTAAGTTTTTTCAAGTACATGAAAGGGTCTTTGGAAGGTATATACTTACGAATTGCCTTGACACAAGTGTAAAAGAGTGAGAGTAATAATACTACGGTGTCCCTAATGCATTTGTGCTGCATTATACAACGGGTAAATTATACTGGTGGTCTCTTGTATTTTCGGTCTGTTCGATTTTATTTAAATATTGCTTTTGATCTTTTATATTATCGATTCGTTCGGTTTTGGTCTTTCTACTGTTAACTCCTGTTAGTCCAGTAACGGAAGCCAAACTTGGCAATTAAAAAAATAAAAATAACCCAGAAGAAGAAGAATCAACCGGGTTTCTTAGATGATGAGGACTGCCATTCTTATGGGGTGATCCCATTAATTCCATGAAAACACCTTTGGTTTAGCAGGTAATTGTTATAACCCTCGTGCGAACACCACCCTTGCCTCATTCACTCCAATTCCTTATCCTATAAATGCCACAAATTATATTACACCATCTTGTTCCCATCAAAATTTATCCTTGTACGTTATCTGTCTTCTTCTTCGATTCTCTCTTTTGGAATTTCCTTGAAATGAAATATTAATGGGTAAACTATTGTTAGTACCTAAATTATTAATTTTGTTTAACTTTAGTACATAAATTTTGATTTTTTTATAATCATACCTGATATTTATTTTTTTATTTTACTTTAGTACCCAGAAGGACTGATGTAATTATTTTCTTTTTCTAAATTCCACGCGTGCTTCCATTTTAGACACATTAATAATATCATTTATTATTAATATTTTATTTCCCTTGTTAGCTTAAGAAAGCCCCCCCCCTGCCGGGGTCAAAGATGGAATTCCAACAACTGCTAGAGAACGACGGTTCACTGGTGATGACAATCACCAGAGATTGCAAAGAAACACGAGGCAGCACCTCTCTGCAGTGACGGCTCACCGGTGATAACAATCATGCTAGAAAACAACTGTTTAACACGGATGGAACTAAGCGGCAGCTTCCCAATCATCTCCCATGAAGGCTGATTCTTCCACGTTCCCCACCTACGGACAACAAACTAGCACAAAGAAAAATCGCTGCTTCTCTTGCATTTCCTGGAAGTCTTTCTACATCGGCCATATGATCCCGCCTCTCTCCGTCCATGATCAGCTCCAGCTCGGTCACAACTATTTCGTCCTCCCAAAACAATTTTTCTAGTCAGTCTTATCGTTCGCCACCATTGCCTCCTTCGCCAACGACGCTCAGTCGAGGAATGCGGTATTGAAGAGAGCAGCAGCTTGCCGACCTTTCATATCTCAAAGAAAACCCTTCTATCTAATAATAATATTCTTCTCCTTCCTGCAATGGCCGATGCAACAGCGCTTGTTGATGTCCCCGCGAAGTCAAGAAACAATGGCAGAAGAGCCCTGAAACAAAAAATCCCTTCATATTCACCAAATGAAGCTATTATATTTTGGCTCAAAATCTCTCTCTGGCTTCTCCCGTTCCTTCTGCAATGGAAGCCGACGACAACTCCAAAGAGAATCACGAGACACTTTCTGGAACTCTCGTTTCTCCCAAGAGAGGGAAGGCTGCCGGGAAAGGGAAACATAACACTCTCGAGAAAGAGTTGCATTAAATGTAAAGTTGCTGATGAGCTTGACGGTAGAAAGCAGAGGGTTGACCCTTAATATTTAACATTTTCACATGTAATGATGACGTGGATCATTAAAACATGCGTTGAACATAAAAACGCCACGGAAGAATAATTTTACGTCAGAATTTTCGTCAAGTTTTTAGCAGCGACATATTAGAGTGAAATAAAAAGTACATATAAATATAATATTTAAAAAAAAAACTTAAATATTAAAATGGAACAAAAGTGATATTTTAAATATTGTACTTATAGTTTAGCCAATATTAATTGTTAATGGTTGAGGTTCCTTTTGTGTCAAAAACTTTTCCTTTCTCCATAACTCGTCGTTACAAAATTAAGAACTTTGTATTGTTTGATTATTGGATTTTGTATGAAACTGAATGAACCTATTCAATTTTCAAGCCTTTTAAGTTGGATTTAAGGTTTAGAATATAATTTTGTTCGCCATTAAATTCTCAACACTTTGGTACTATTAGTCTATGGTTTTGATTAGTAAATGTTATTGAATTGGAGAAGAAAGAATTTGTGGTTTAATGATTCAATTGAGTTGATGATGGATTATGAAAGATTTTATGTTTTTTTATCATTTCTATATTTGATTGAAGTCGAAAATCAATTGTTAAAGCTATAAGGACCTATTCGGCTATTATTAAAAAATTTAGGGTTTGAGATGAAAATTTATTTTGAGTTTTGTCATGAAGGATTAAGTGTTAGCTGGCTTTAAAATTAAAGATATATTATGGGGGATCAATTCGACAATTTAAAAAAATAAGGGATGGATGTGTAAATGTTGTTTGATGATGAAAATGATTAGGAAATGAAGTTATCTTCAAAAATGGATTGTTTGAAGCTTGAATCTTAAGATTAAGATTGAAGGATTAATTCGACTATAAAGGAGAATTTTAGTAAAAAATTTATTTTGAGTGTTGAGATGAATTGTTATCATTCAAGCTTCATTTTTAATAGTTGAAATATTAAAATAGAGAAAACAAAACTTTGGTGGAATTATATTATCCAGAGTTAATTTAAAGTATAGAAAGTTTATAAACTTCGAATATATATTTTTTGAATTCTTTAGAGATTTTTTGTATTTGATTAATGAGTATGGTTAGAATTAAATTCTGACATGTATTTTGAATTTTGTGTGTTTTATAGCTGATGTGCCTTAAGCATCTAAGTTTAGATGTGAGGGGAATAAAAAGGGAATGAAAAAAGAACAAGTTTGAAGGTGTATTTTAAATTCATCATTTTTCGTTAAAAAATTAACAATTGTTTGAGTTGGATATTAATCTACTAACAATTATATGATAAAATCATATTTTAATGATGTCTACTAATATCGTTGTTGCTTTCAAGCATTGTCTTAACGACATAAAATTTTAAGCACTAACTTGACGACATAAAATTTTAAGCACTAGCTTGACGACATAATCTAAACGAAGAGTCAATCCACAAAATACAACTCAAGTGATTCTGGAATCATATTTTATCATATCTCAGTCTACATGTTAACTTCAAACTTCGGCAACCACAATTTTTAACGAAAAATGACGGTTTTAAAATATATGAACAGTCGAGTGACCATTTTATAACTTTTAATAGTTGAAGTATTCAACAAAACAATGTCCTATAATCCAAGACCATTTTAAATTTTTTAATAGTCGAATGACTTAATAAAATAATATTCTATGCCAAGAGGACCATTTGTCTACATTACCAAAAAAAATAAAAGTGGGAAAAAAATGCTAAAATGGTACTTTCACACCTGATCAAACTATTATAAACTTCACCAACTTCCTACCTTTTCTTCACCATTTTTTCCCTCATCTCCATTTCTCTTCTTTTTCCTCTGAAAAAAATATACAATATACAATGGATCCAGTGAACACTTGGGGCAATGCCTCCCTCGAATACGTCGATCCCGAAATCCACGATCTCATCGAGAAGGAGAAGCGCCGCCAATGTCTCGGAATCGAGCTAATAGCCTCCGAGAATTTCACTTCCTTCGCCGTCATCGAAGCCCTCGGCAGTGCCCTTACCAACAAGTACTCCGAGGGCATGCCCGACAACCGTTACTACAGGGGCAACTAATTCATCGATGAGATCGAAAACCTCTACAAATTGTTCGTCAACAGTTTGGGAGAAAGTTTGCTTAGGTTTGTTTATTTATTAAATTAACAAACACAGTAAAGATTTTGGGTTCGTTTAATTAAATAAACGAACATAAATAGAGAGTTCATTCGTTTATTTATATTTGTGAACGTTCGATAATATGTTTGTTCATTTATATTCGTTAATTAATGTCCATTCGTTTATGTTCATTTAAAACATAAGGTTACATAAATTTTAACTTCATACCCATTAATATTTTAAAATTCAATTAATTTTAAATATAAATAAAAAATTCATAAAAATTAAATCCAAATTAACTATGAAATTGCAACTTATACTATAAATTTTACGTTATTATTGTTGTTGTGATTTATATTCGTTTACGTTTGTTTATTGTATTCATTTATATTCATTCATGTTCGTTTACGTTCATTTACTACGTCTATATTCGTTTACATCTTTTTGTTTATTTTTTTTTATATTCGTTTATTATTTAAATGAACAAACACGAACAAACTACATTCCTTAACAAATAAACATGAACAAAATTACACAGTTACATTAATATTTTAATTTTAATTTCATCAATACTTCGACGTTTTTATTAACTTTTAATGACATGACAATAAAAAATTAAATTATATTTTATATAAAAATAATGCCAATCGTGTAAAAAAGTTAAAAAGTATCAAAACATATGATGAAATTAAAACTTAGATAAACTACACGGTTGGTACTCCAACTATAACTTTTGTACTATTTTAATCACCAAACTATTATATTTTTTCAAAATCATATTTAACATTATACTAGGTGACATATCTTATGGTGATGCTGAGGCATCAGCATTTAATTCTTTAAAGATAAGAGCAAGAGCAACATAGGTCAAAAGCTTACCTTGCCAATATAAATATTAGATTGTAACATGTAGGAAATCTTGAACAAACTACATAATGTAGTTTGCATAAGTCTAGCACAATAACGAAATCGAATTAACTGCATCATCAAATCTATAAGCAAAGATTTTGATGCAATACCTAGTAACCAGAATCCCTATCACCACGGAAGCCACCATTACCACCAAACGACCGAGGTCCGGGAGGCCTTTCATTCGCATAACTCACTCGAATATTTCGTCCATTGAGTTCCTGCAGTTTCGGTTCAAAGGAATCAAAATACAAAATTATCCAGAAACATGTTTCGTATATAAAAAGCCTATTTTTCCTCACCTGACCATCCATGGCTGACAAGGCATTGCTGGCAGATTCATCATGAGCAAAGTTTACAAAACCAAAGCCCCTAGACCTCCCAGTGTCTCTATCGATGATAATCTTAGCTGATCAACATAAATCAGAGAATGAGAACACAAAATGAAGCAAGCACTATAATAGCATCATAAAAAATTCTCAATGTTTATATGGAATCTCGGTGACAACTGTTTTGTTCAGTTCCTGTACATAAACAGCAAAACTCGCAGGCCAAAATCATTAGTCTGGTATAAAAGAAAACTTGTTAATAGTTTTAATTTGACCAGAGCAACACGCTCACTTGTACACAAAGAAAATGGAGATAAATTAATATGCATTTTGATACCACACTACTCATATAGCCAGCCTAGACATGCCCAAAACAACCAATAAATGAACACTAAACACCAAACAAACACATTATCCATACTATTTCCTCAGTCTTCACTATTAGTAATAACCCAAGGCTGATGAATGACCAAAAAAATACATCTCATTAATCTGCTCAACAACAAAAGGAAGCTAATATTTATGTTAGTTTAAAATAGACAAACTTGTAAGAATGTCAGAAACTTAACAATATCACTAGCATTAGCAATACAACTCACCTTCTGTGACATCACCAAATCCGGAAAATGCTTCCTTAAGAGTTTGATCATCAGTTCCAAATGAAAGGCCTGAGAATCATAGATTTAAGTCGAATAAAAAAATTTAAGATATTGGCATATAATCTTCAAACCAAGAATCGGATGAACAAATACCTCCGATAAAGAGCTTTTTCGTTGATGTCGACATGCAGCGAATAGAGTTAAGGATAGATGTTGCGGGAATTTGACCATTTAGCCTTAGAAGGCTTCCTAATTTGCTAGAAAATGCCATTATAGCACTTTACTGTGTCATTTTTTATTCACAACAGCAACAGCAAGAAGCACAAAACATAAACAAAATGTCATGTTAGTAGCAAGACAACCAAAACAACACATTGCAATAAAATATCCTATTAAATTATATCTATAGTTAGTTATTCACATCCCTTCTTTTAAAAATTGTTAAATATCCCGTTTCTCTTCAGTTATTAACAACCATAGACAATTTTCAAACAAAAACAATAATTAGCGCAACAAAGAAAAAAACCGTCCATGATCAACATTAAAATTTTAATGGCATGCCATTCCCAATGTTTTATTTTTTTATTAATCTGTATCGAATACAAGACAGTATATGTTCGAAAGATCAATGAACGTGTATATATCCCTTAATCTACCAAGGTCGCTTAGTTCTCATTCCCAATGTTTTAGGATCTACTTTGACCTAACATAAATTATTCATCTCATAAAACCACTCCAAGGACAAAGAGATAAGCTACACTAACATCAATACTAACCAAAATAAAAAGAAAATAAAACAAGACTAATTAAGGCAAAAAAACTGAAAAATATAAATCATAAACCAAAAGAAAAACAATCATCTTAACTTTAAAAAAATAAATAAATGAACAAACAGAATGAAACCCACAAAAGTAAAAGCGATTGTATTTACCTTTAAGAAGAGAAGATGGAGAGAGAGATTCAGAAAGAATGAATTGAGCGGCTAGGGTTTAAGACTTTGAAGGAGAAGATATCATCTCCTGCATCATTTAATAGACTTGAGGCTTAAGGAGTTTTATTCCGGTACGGTGTAGATGTATTACAATTTTCACTTTATTCAGTTGTACCCCGACTGATAATTTGGTCCAATGTTGAATTTAAGTTCCACAAGGTACATTATTTGATGACTCTATTTGGAATCGGATTGGGCTCTGAACTTCTTCGGGCTTTGCATTGAACTCAAAATGTTTGAAATAAAAAAAAATATTTAGAATTTATTTTAAATAGTGTTTCAAATTTGATCTAATGCTTTTGTCTCAAGTTCAATTTTTTTTAATGATAAGATATTTAAATTTTTGTGATTATAATAAATAATATATCTCTCTCTATACAAATAATATTGATAGTTTTTTATTTATAATTATCAGTATTCGATCTATTAATCGATTAATTTGGATTGTGTATTGCAGTGGCAATGGTAACTCTCCTAAACCTATTTGTTTTATTTGTAAACGTCAAGATTCGGACTCTTAGCCTTACTTAAGAGATCTAGTGTCTCATCACACTAGACCAATTGATTATTGATATTAATTATAGCTTTTTAATATAACACCACAATTGTAAATTTTAATACTCAAATTGAATATTATAATTAAATCTCGAATGTCACATAAACTTTTAATTCTCTTTTATTTTTACCTTAAACTTTACTATTTCTTTAATTTAATTTTGAATCAAGGGTTTTGAAATAAAATATTAAACCTAACATTTGAGGTGTGACAACGTTATTCGCCGCACATAATATAACAAAATGACAAACAATCTTCAAACTCAACTTGGAGTTCCCATTAAATTAAGAAGTTTACATGAGTTACTTGTGTAACTCAGTCCATTTACGACTCATCAAATAAATTTTAGAACCATCTTTTACAGTTTACTTAATTGAATAAATAGTATAAGTTTAAAATACTTTTGTCCTAACAAAGTTTATCAAATATTTAGTTTGATTCGAGTTGAGAAAAATATGATTTTAAGCTCAAATATGACTTTTTAATGTATGATGATAAATAAAAATTATTATTTCGATTTTTAGAATTTTTGAAAATGTAATTAATTTCATTGTGAACAAATAGGATTAAAATAGGATTTACCTTAATATTTTGATACTAACAATTAACGCTTTAAATGAATTGTCTATCATATTTAATTTAACAATTCTTTTTACTTGTTCAGACTTCATCAATATTTTTTTTGAAATCTTAATTTCACCAAATTTTCAATTAAATCTACCTTTTAAAAATTTGTTTTGACTCGAAATCATTTTTAAGAAATTAAGAACCAAACTGAATCAACTACCTTATTATGTATCTGATTCTACTAACTCATATTTTAAGGCGTTATATTACATCATGCCAACATCACTTCCATATATGCAATGTATTTCATATCATGTTCATATGCGCATCACATGTCTTTCCTCGCATTTATATGCATTTCATATTCCACATTTTGTGCTTTTGTGCATTATATAAATCATACTTCGTACATGTATCATCATATCACTTTCCATAGAACATGTAAGACACAACTAAGTACTTAACAAATAATCATATTTAATAAAATTCATTAAGCGATTTTAGTGGTAGAAAAGAGTATTATTCTTCATATGAATTCTGAGTTTGAACAATTGTGTCTGCAGGGTGTATAGATGTTAATAACAAATAAAGATTTTAAACAATTACTATTTTATAATCACCCCCGTCTATTAAAAAATAATCATACTTAATATTTATCTTAAACACATACCATGTAATTTATTTCATATACTTATCTATCAATTTCACATACATTCAACTATTGATTTACACTTAACAAATAATCATATTTAATAAAATTCATTAAGCGATTTTAGTGGTAGAAGAGAGTATTATTCTTCATATGAATTCTGAGTTTGAACAGTTGTGTCTGCAGGGTGCATAGATGTTAATAACAAAGAAAGATTTTAAACAATTACTATTTTATAATCACCTCCGACTATTAAAAAATAATCATACTTAATATCTATCTTAAACACATACCATGTAATTTATTTCATGTACTTATCTATCAATTTCACATACATTCAACTATTGATACTTTAGACTTGGGCAAATTTATAAAAGGAATATTGAGGTTCTTCATTACATGTCTAGCGTAGAATTACCTCTTGAGGTTCTTCATTACATGTCTAGCGTAGAATTACCTCTGTTCCATCGACTAACAATAAAAGTTAGGTGACATAATTTATCACTGAGTATGAGAAAATATAAAGTTCATTTCTCCCCAAGGCACGAGCTTGGCATAATTCGAAATGCAAAGCGGGAAAACAATTAAAAGTTCATTAAAAATGAAGATTCTTTACATATTCCTAACTACTGTTATACAAAGGAGGCTAAGTTGGAGCGTTATCAGCAAGAACCTCCGAATTAGAAATTGGATCTTCTACCATTACTTCTAGATTTGGAGTTGGATCATCCACAGTTGCCTCCAGAACAAAGGCATGGTTATTCCTCGGAGTGGCCTTCGGGTTATACCAACTTCATTCAAAACGTACAAGTGTGGAGCGGCTTAAAATCAATCATCACATTGATTCACGAGAACCGACTTCTTTAATATAATAAATGCCTTCTTTCGTGAGTCTCAGTTCAAGTTATTGTATGGCATTTCCTCGACCAAGAAGGGACAAGTATAACCGCAACCCACACAACGCTATTAATCCTCCACTTATCGAGGTTTCTGGAGTTCCCATAAGTCTTTAGAGTTGCATATCCTCCAAACTATTACATTCTCTTTACTTAATCGTTGTTAATTTCATCACCAACTAAATATACTATATGTCAACCATGTATACTCACTATGTCGACCTAAAAATAGTCATAATCACTTTACGTCTGACACCAACATTAAAAATCCGTATATAAGTCACCATATAAAACTAAAGAAGGAGCTCGAACTATCTCTATCACCGAGCCTTTCTTACTGTTCATCATATTTTTCATATCATCTATTCTCCACCTCCTTCACAAACAATCATTTGCGGCTCTCCACCTAAATAGAATAGGCAAATTATCAAACACCATCATAACTCCATTTCTTCTATCAATAATAATTTTTAAGTTGAAGGATAAATTTAAAATATAAAAAATAAATATAGAAATTTTTATACAATTAATTTTTAAATATTCACCAAACTATCGGTGAATTTTACAAAGTATTATCATCAGATTTCAACGCATAAAATATAAGTTGAATAAACAAAAGTAAATTTCTTATATACAAAGACAAAAGGAATCCCTTTTCAAGATCTCCCAAAAGACCCCTTTTTTATTATTGGCGAGGCGAGGCGATGCAAGAGGGTTCGTATTTGGATATCGAAGGGGCAATAATTGTTGGCTTCAAGGCAAAATGGATGAGATCGAGGATTTTTGCCCAACTCAGCAAAACATGGGAACCAAAAACACACCCCTACACAATGGGTGAAAAATAATAAAAATATTAAAATATGATAAAACCTTTAAAAATTATAATTATTTACATTTTTATTTTAAAATTAATATTATAATTACATTTAAAGTTTTATTAAATATATAATATACTATATTAAATCTATTTTTTTAATTATATAAAAATAATTTAATTCAAATATCACAAATTATTAAAATCCTTATCAAAGAAGAATTATTTTATGTATATATATATATATATACATAAACAATTATGTTTATTTAGTATAACATTTATTTTATTTAGTTTTAACATATGTATAATTTAATTAAAATTGTATATGTATAATTGAATTAAAATTAAAAATTTATACAAGTGAACAAAAATCAAAATTATATATAAAATTAAAATCCATATATAACACTACATATTTGACCAAAATTTATACATATATTTTTTAAATATTTTACAAATTAAGTATTTATAATTTTTAATTAAACTAATGTCTCTAAACTCGTTATTTTTAAACTGAGGTAAATAGAAAATAATATATATTAAAATATTATCTACCATTTAGTATTGAACGCTCATACTCATGAATGAACCTAGAGAGGGGTGAGTGGGGGCGGTCGCCCCATAAAAGTTTGAAACTCATATATATTTTAGATATTTTCTTTGTATTTTTTTATTGAAAATATGTTTTCGTCCCCCTAAAAATTTATAAGTTCTCCCCTACTTAAAATTTTATAAGTTCGCTCCTCCTAACATAAAATCATGCATCTATCCCTGCTTATACCCTTCTATACGCAATGTTAGAACTCATAACCTCAAAAGATAACAACAATTCTCTTAATCACTGAAATCATTTAATTCATGACTCTAAACACATTTTTAATAACACCGTTGTTTATTTTTTAACTTTGCAAGTAAATTTCTATTATTAAATCATTTTAATTCAATTCATTTTATTTTTAGATAATTTAATTATTAATTAATAAGGGTAAAGTATAGTAATGATCACTGAACTTTTCTAAAGCTTTCATTTAGGTCCCTTAACTTTTAAAACTTACAATACAGTCCCCAACATTTAGTCCGTTTGTAATATGGTCCCCCAACAGTTACGTCAGGGATCATATTGCAAATGGACTAAATGTTGAGGGACCATATTGCAAATGGACTAAATGTTGGGGGATTATATTGCAAGTTTTAAAAGTTAGGAGACCTAAATAAAAGATTTAAAAAGTTCAGTGACCATTACTATACTTTACCCCTTTTTATAAAGAACAGTTTTTTTATCCAAATATTTAGATTTAAATGTAGAAAGTAAATTCAAATATTTTTTTGTTTTGTTTTTAAATGTATAAAGTAAATATTTAGATTTATTTTATTGTTTATTTCAGGGGTTTATTTTATATTTTATACCTTTTAGTATTATTTTTTATTTCTAATTGTATTTTATATATATTTTCTAGAGTTAAATTAGACTTATTTCCAATTAATAATTCATTTTTCAATTAATTTATTTAGTATTATATATTTTCTAATTGTATTACTTTTTTCAATTCAATTTTCGTTAAACGAAATATTTGTTCAATAATCGTGAACTAGTAATTT